AATAAAAATAAATGAAAAAAAAAAAACACAAAAAAACAGTTGTTTCAAGTTGCTAAACCTGGGGCAATTTGTTACAAAGCAACAGTAACTGGAACAGTGATGAACCTGATGAACATGTTCCCTGCCTTCACGGAGTTTATATTCTAGTTGGAGGAGGGCATACAATAAGCGAGAAAATGTCAGCTGGAAGAATTAAGAAATGCCGGAACACTGGATATCCACATCAAAAGAATGAAGTTGGGCCCTTTCCTTACACTATATGCAAAACGATGCCTGAAAAAATAGTTATTATTTATAGGCATACCCCAGAGATATCATAGGTTCACTTCCCAACCACTGCAATAAAGTGAATATCAAAATAAAGCAAATAAATTTTTGGTTTCCCAGTGAATGTAACAGCTATGTTTACATTATACTGTAGTCTATTAAGGGTGTAACACCATTATGTCTACAAAACAATGTATACACCTTAATTAAAAAATAATTTATTGTGGACTTCCCTGGTGGTACAGTGGTTAAGAATCTGTCTTGCAATGCAGGAGACACATGTTCAATCCCTGGTAAGGTAAGTAAGATTCCACATGCTGCAGGGCAACTAAGCCTGCGCATCACGACTGGAGAGTCTGAGCAGCACAACAAAAAAGCCCGTATGCCACAAGTTAAGACCCGATGAGGCCAAGTAACTAATTTTTTTTTTAATTTATTGCTAAAAATGCTAGCCATCCTCTGAGCCTATAGCAAGTCATAATCTGCTTGCTGATGGAGGGTTTGAAACATAATGAGAATTACCAAAATGTGACCCAGAGACAAGAAATAGGCAAACGCTACTGCAAAAATGGCACTCACAGACTTGCTCAATGCAGGGTTACCGCAAACCTCCAATTTGTTAAAAAAAAAAAAAAAAAAAGAAAGAAAAGAAAGAAAAAAATGTAGTATCTGCAAAATGCAATAAAGAGGAGTACAATAATATAAGGTATGCCTACACACATTTTAGGGCTTCATTTATAAGTTACCTTGAACCAACATCTAATTTGAAAACTATAGTGTACTCTTAACTGTGAGGAAGTATAATAAGAACAAAGTATGTAGAAATGTTAAAGTGATAATTACTGATTTAAGAGCTAAGACTATACAACTCTCAGAAGAAAACACAGAATTAAATCTTCATGATTTACTTGGATTAGACTAAGCCTCCTTAGATACAATATGAAAAGCACAAGCAACAGAAGAAAAAAAAATTAGACACTATCAATAAGAACTTCTGTGCTTCACAGGATACCATCAAGAAAGTGCAAAGACAACCCACAGAATGGGTGAAATCATTACCTGATCAGGACAGTGTATCTAGAATATGTAGAGGGGCTTCCCTGGTGGTCCAGTGACTAATACTCAGCACTCCCAGTGCAGGAGGCCAGGGTTCAATCTCATATGCAGCAACTAAGAGCCTGCATACCGCAACTAGGAGATCGCATGCTGCAACTAAAAACATCCCACATGACACAACCAAAAAGGATCCCTCACACTACAACTAAGACCCAGCACAGTCAAATAAACAAATCCAGACTTGAATACATAAAGAACTCACTCTTACAATTCAATAACAGTAAAGACAAAAAAAAAAAAAAACCATGGAAAAAAATGGGCAAAGGATCTGGACATGTATTTCTCCAAAGAAGATACACGTATGGTCAATGAGCACAGGAAAACATGATCAATATTATTAGCCACTACAGAAATGCAAATCAAAAACATAATGATAAAACTTCATACTCACTAGGATGGCTAAAATTAAAAGACAGATGGTAGAAAGAGTTGACAAGAATGTTGAGGAAGTAGAACATCATACCTTGTTGGTGGGATTGTAAAACCGTGTAGTCATTCTGAAAAACAGTTAATCACCTCAGATCCTCAAAATGTTACATATGACCCAGAAATTCCAATCTTAGGTGTATACTAAGAGAACTGAAAACATATGTCTACACAAAAACTTGTACACAAATATTCACGGTAGCATTAATCATTAAAGCCACAAATGTGGAAACTACCCAAATGTCCATCAGTTGGTGAATGGACAAATAAAACGTTGTATATCCATATGTTATGGGTTGATTTGTGTCCCCCCAAAAAGATATGTTGAAGTCCTAACCACCAGTACCTCAAAGTATGACACGATTTGGAAACAGGGCCTTTGCAGATGTAAGTAGTTAAGACAGGTCATACTGGAGTAGGGTGGGCTCCTAATCTATGACTGTATCCTTATAAGATGGCTATGTGGAGACAGACACACAGGAAGCATGCCAAGTGACTATGAAGGCAGACAGTGGGGTTACACAGCTACAAACCAAGGAATGCCAAAGACTGCTAGTAAACCACCAGAAGCTAGGAAGAAGCAAGGAAGGATTTTTCTGTACAAGTTTCAGAAGGAACATGGCCTGGCCAACATCTTAATTTTGGACTTTAAGCCTCTTGAACTGAGACAATAAATTTCTGTTGTTTCAAGCCACCTGTTTGTAGTATTCTGTTATGGCAGCCCTACAGAACTTACACTATATAATGGAACATTATTCAACCACAGAAAGGAATGAAGTACTGACACATGCTTTAACATAGACAAACCTTGGAGATATGCTAAGTGGAGGGAATCAGACACACAAGATTGCTTATTATATAATCCCATTTATATGAAATGCCCGGCATAGGCAAATCTATAGAGAGAAAGTGTACTAGTGGTTGCCTGATGCTGGGGGGCAGGAATGATGAAGGACTGCTAATGGATACAGGGTTTCTTTTCTGGGGTGATGAATATCTTCTCAGATTAACTATAGTGCTGACTGCACAACTCTGTAAATATATTAAAAATCACTGAGTTGTATAGTCTAAATAGGTGAACTGTACGATATATGAAATATATCTAAAGAAAGCTTTTAAAAAATAATTATAAAAAAATTAACAGACACAGAGAGAGAGGAGTAGAGCATTAGGAAAGAGCTGTTACATGAAGTAATGTGTGAAATTTGAGCTGAACCGTGTACAGTGAGGAAAGCTGTGAGAAGAGCACCCCAGGCAGAGAGAATGGTACAAATTTCCTTGGGTGAGAACAGGTTTGGCATATCTAAGGAACAGAAAGGTAAATATGGCTAGAGTATAAATGAGGTAGAAAGTGCTATGGGATAAAGTTGGTAGACAGGCAAGGGCTAGAACGTGTATATTAATTCCATAAAAATTATAGGAAATAAGGGTAGCTACAGTAAAATTCCAGGCAACTTTATTTCATCTCCAGTCCTCAATATGCACCTTTAATCTCAATAGACTTATATATCAGTAATAATAGTTACCTCATTTCATATTTAAACATTCATAACCATAACAAACAATTACTCTTATGGGCATCCAGTCCTAAAGTTACCTGAACCTGCTAGGTTTGGGCCTGGACTAGCCCTGAGCCAAGAGTTTCAAGTCTTGAAGGTATAAACATCTCAGTCAAAACTAGGGGACTTCCTTGGTGGTCTAGCGATTAAGAATCCATCTGCCAATGCAGGGGACACAGGTTTGACCTCTGGTTTGGGAAGATGCCACATGCTATGGAGCAGTTTAGCCTGTATGTCACAGCTACTGAAGCCCTCATGCTCTAGAGCCCTGGCTCCACAAGAGAAGCCACAGCAGTGAGAAGCCTGTGCACGGCAACCAGAGAGTAGCTCCCACCTGCAGCAACTAGAGAAAGCCCCCGCGCCAGCAGCCAGGACCCAACGCAGCCAAAAATAAATAAATAAAACTCCTAGGAGCTCTGTAAATACTTAACTGTTGTGCTGAGGAGCTGAGGAGGGACACGAACCTCAAATACCTGCTGGGACTGGAGTTGGGGAGTGGGGCACGGGTCTAGAAATCAAGTTTCTACCTATACCTTATGTAAGGCAGACCCTCCTCTCGGCTAGTTTACCTCAGTTCCCCAGGCAGGAGAACTGGCCCAGGAGCCCCCTGAAGCGCGTGTTCTCGTGTGGCCTAAGTGCAAGCACCTGAGAGCAGGTGGACACAAGTACGTACACAAGACAGGGACACGAGGCTGGGGCTTTCCATTACAAATTAAGACTGAATTCCTCGTTGCAATGTTTATCATGAATGTGAGATTTTTCTCCCTTCTTCTGGCATTAAGAATAAAAAAAAACTGCGATCTATCATAAAATAAACTTCTATATCTGTCAAACAGCAAGCCAAATCAACCCATTCTAGAGATCAAGGATTTTTCTAAGACTCACAGAATGTTCCTATGATTCAAGGAATAGGGAAAGATCAGACCACCATCAGGAATAAAGCAAATGAAATGAGTATTTAACTCAATATATGTGCTCTCAGTCTATTCACCAATTCCTACCCACTGGACATTTGCAGGTGAAGAAATTTTGAAGTTAATCCAAAAGCCTGCCTTTTCCATTTTGGTTCCAAGTTGGACTACAAGTTTCACTAAGGAAGGTAACAGGGCAAAATTCAAGAAGGGTAATACTCGGTGTCATCCTAAACCCTCCGTTTTTAGTTTCTCTTAAGTGTTCTCCCCTGTCTTATACTGTTATACAGCCTGCGTCAAACACCTGTTGACCTCATTATGGAAGTATTTCAATAACACCCAGAGACCCAAGAAGCACATGTGAAAATGCAAAGAACACGTTTGAGATAACAGACATAGAAATCTGAGATGTAAACAGAACTGGCTAGCCCATTTAATAAATTTTTTGAAATAACAAAGTGATTAACCAGAAGGCAAGGGTACAAATAAATCCAATAAACATATCACCACACACTTGTATACAAATCCACCCATCTCTTAACTAATAGACAAAAGCAGTAAAAGGCAATAGAAACACTATGCTTTCCCATTTCCCTGGGTGGGGGGTGGGGAGTGGAGTTCTAATCAAGAGACTCTGTAAAGCTAACAACAAAGTAAAGAAAACAAACAAGCAAAACAAAAAGTTCCAATCTGATTAAAGTTAGTAATAAATTGTACTTACTGTTTGGCCTGATTAACATGAACTCCTAGTGTATAGCTCAGCCATTTGTATGTCACCTGCAAGAAGGAGTTTTTTAAAAAATTTTATTAGATGACTGCAGAGCGCAGGTCAGCCCAAAGGACTCCTAAAGATTCTGAGGCAATTATGTCTTATAAATTACATTAAATGCCACCCCAGTTTTGCCAAGAACCATCCATCTGGGCAGGGAGGACTCAGACATTTATTTTACAAAGAAGTCTGTATCACAGATTAATGCAAGAATTTAAAAAGATTGAATATACACAGAAAAAGCTCTCAACTTCCTTACACTCCCTGTTTCACCCTGGTCCTTCTTTCCACATTTCTCTCCTTTTATGGGGCCATCACCAAAAACTATCCTCAAACTCACTCAGAAACTTAAGTTACTTTGGAGTGTACAACTCAGAAACTTCTGAAGAAAGTTGCAGCCACATAAATATTAAAGGGCACAGATGGTGCAGGGGTCAGGGAATGAGTGAAGTGGATGAATACTCTATCAGAGGTTAGATTGGGAATTACTGGCATCAAGCTTTGCTCTTCCTCCATCCTTCCTTGAACTGTCATTTGCCACTTCCTTGTAACCTGTCACCCTCCCCTCAAAGTCTTACAATTCTAAACGCTGAGTTTCCAGTAACTAGAAGACTGAGCACAGGCTGGGCAAAGGCAGTGTGATGTAGAGGAAAGCACTAGCAGAACACAGACTGGAAAACTGATTATCCCTTGTGTGTGTGTCTTAGTCACTCAGTCGTGTCCTACTCTCTGTGACCCCATGGACTGTAGCCCAGCAGGCTCCTCTGTCCATGGGATTCTCCAGGCAAAACTACTGGAGTGGGTTGCCGTTCCCTTCTCCCAGAAGATCTTCCCAACCCAAGGATCAAACCTAGGTCTCCTGCAGACAGATTATCCCTTACTAACCACAAGTTATTTGGGCCCTCTGCTTCAACTACCTTTTCTAAGGCTACTTCCACCGACCTCGATGCGTCACTGTAAAAAAGTAAACGCAATAACGTGTACCCAAAGTTCACAGTAGGCCCTCAATCATCACGATTTGAGAAACGCTCTCACATCCATCGTCTCACTTGATCTTTACTTCAACCCTGTGAAGCAGGTCAAGCCTGAATCAATAACAAACTTCCAGAAAACGAAACCAACTGACGGTCAGATTAAACAACTTGTTACTTAACCCGGTCAAAACACAATTTCCTCAACTGTAAACCTGAGACTTCAAACGCCAACCACCTTGCAGGAAATGTGTGAAGACAAACAACATCAATCAAGGCTCCTCCCTCCCCGCCCGACCTCCGTGGCCCTTGGTCTGCGCAGAGCCCAGCACGCCCACCCGAGGAACCTGGATCTGCCGGCGGGGCAGAAGTCCTCCCCGGCGGGTCCTCGCTCTGCCTGGGGCACCAGGAATGGGGACCGTCTCCACTGGACCAGCCCCATGCAGCCACACGCAGAGGGATCAAGACCCCTGCCGCCCTCACTGGGCCCAAAACCCCAGTCGCACGCCCGCATTCCCCAGTCCTAGCTCCTCACGATCTTGTTCTGGTCCGTGACGAACTCGTCTATATTTTCCAGATAAAACTGGTCCGCCATGGTGCCGCGGCGCTGTGCCCCGCCGCAGCTGAGCTCCCCTAGCCGCCACAACCGCAGCTCCCGCCGGCGGGAAACGTCTTTTCTCCCTCCCAGGTCCCGGGTCGTTTCCCACGGCAACGAAGGCGACGCGCTACGGCGGCCGCCGGAGGGTCAAACTAGTCTCAGAGACGGCGCAGGCTGAAGTAGGTGGAGCTAATAGGAACTGACGGAAGTGAGGAACGAGGAGCGCGGGCGTGGTCCGGAACGGCTGCCAGTAGAACCCTAGTGTCGAGTCCAGGCTCTGCTAGTTCGTGGCTGACGCACCGCAAAATACCTTATCTTTCTAGGGACCGTGGTCTTTCCACCCGTAAACTGATCAAATAATCCTTGCCCTGTCACACATTTAATCAATGAGTATTAATTAGGTACCTCGTCTGTTTCCAGTCACTTCCTAGGCACTGGGACACAGCAGTGAACAATAAAGACAAGTAAATATTTTAGTAAAGTCCTGCCAGCTGGGATAAAGTACTGCCTGTTATAATCTCTCAGAATTGAGAAATTAGGGAAAGTTTTTCCAGAATGGATGCGAGAGGGGGTGTTTGCTGGGAAGAGATGTTTTCATTATAGTTGAAATGTTGGGAGAAAAGGACACGAAGAGAGATGAGACGAAGGAAGAAGCCAAACTATGCGGTGCCTACAAGGTTGCGTGAAGGGGCACGTGAACTTTATTCTCAAGGATTGGGGCATTTCAAATAAAATTTCTCTTAATATCAGCTAAAAAAAAAAAAATCCTTCCATATAAACTGTGTATTTCAGTAGGGCAGCACCGTGAATAATGGAGCTGGCACTAGAGTTAGACCCTGGATTTGAATCCTGGTTTTGATATTTGTTGTGTGAACTTAGGCAAATTGCTTAACCACTGCAAGCCTGTTTCCCCATCTATAAGATGGATATAGTAATAGCATCACTTCAAATGTTTGTTGCAACATGCATTCATTCAGGATATGGTTAGCAAAAGCCTAGTAGGGGCCAAGCATTGTTCTACAGATAGAGCTGTGATCAATAACACAGGGAGCCTGCCCAAATGTAGCTTACATTTTCTTGGAGATTTTCGAGTGAGGGATGATAGCAGCTTAAAATAGTATCATTTGTACTAGAAATTGAGAACCCAGTAACTTGGTTCCCTTTTGTTTCTGAGTCAGGAAAAGCCGCTAATGAGTTAGATGAGTGGAGAATGAGAAAGACAGTAATAAAAATTGCCTAGACTTGGAACCTAAATCAATATGTTAATAGTGATGTCTTTGTGAGATATGAAGTCAGAGAAAGTGCAGATGAGAAAATTAAAGAATTTTATTTGGCCAGAGTTATAAACCAGATAATATATACATAATCCTTGTGCCATACCTGCATACAATGAAATCAACAGTTAGTATCTGTACTTGGGATTGGCAGGCTTCCCTGGTGGCTCAGATGGTAAAGAATCCACCTTCAATGTTGAAGACCTGGGTTGGATCCCTGGGTCAGGAAGATCCCCTGGAGAATGGAATGTCTACCCACTCTAGTACCCTTGTCTGGAGAATTCCATAGACAGAGGAGCCTGCTGGGCAGTCCATGGGGTCACAAAGAGTCAGACACAACTGAGCAACTAACACACACACTTACACTGGTGACATTGCTTTTGCTGGTAGCTCAGATGGTACAGAATCTGTCTGCAGTGACAGAGACCCAGGTTCAATCCCTGCGTCGGGAAGATCCCCTGGAGAAGGAAATGGCAACCCACTCCAATATTCTTATCTGGGAAATCCCATGGACAGAGGATCCTGGAACTGAGTGGTTAACACACTCTCTGGTGACATTGGGCAGAGGAGTGAAAGAGGCACCAAAGCCAGATTTCAGTGATTCAAGAAGTGAGGAAGAATGAGAAAAGGAGCTGAAGATAGAGCGTAGAGACAACTCTGGCTAATTAACTCTGTGAAATAGGAGAGTGGGGTGAGAATCATGACTTTCACAACAAGTCTGCCTAAGCAACAGGGGTGGGAGATGGTGGTGGGTGTTTGTCTGGGAAGGGAAGGACGATAGGCCTTCTGGAATTTTTTCTATGTAGAAGATCCTCAGTCAGGATTCCCTCAGAAACTGCAAGCCTGAATCTGCAGGAGGAGAGCATGTGACACATCCTCAATTCCCACTGAATGGAAATTTTTCCAAAGGCCTTTTCCCCCCTGGATTCCCAGCACCCAGCATGGCCCATCGCTGGAAGAGCGTAGGCCCTTAACAAATATTTGTTGACTGATAACTAAATGGCAGAATGAGTAGATGGATGGATGAATGGAATTGAATTAAACGTTGTTCTGCTCTATAATCCCTTTTGTTGGTTTTCAGAACATTGTTTGTGGAAGGTGTTGTCTTTCCTCTCCAGCCCCCTCTGAAACGGTTACATAGTCTGTTAGCAGGGGGAGAATTATTGGTAGGTTAACTGGGGAGATGCAGCTGCCTTCAAAGTCCCAGTGATCAGAAATAGGGGACAAGGGGTGACCTTTTGTGGACAGAAGTCAGGACCAAGCCCAGATCCTAAACAGGCTTGAGACTTGCAAAGAGCACTGCTGCTGGAGACCCCAAAGGGAGGCGCCATGCATTCCTGTGTGTGCAGTCTTTATAGACAGGATTTTGTCTAGTAAACACTCCATATACTTTGGGTTGACTAATCTGAAGCATCTTACCTTTCAGTATTTCTTCCAAAACTCCATAGAGTAAGAGACAAAATCAGATGGTAGACTCTCCCCAAACTGATTCTCCTCGTCTTCCTGTTCCCTATCCCATGAGGAAATGCCTCCATCATCCTTCTGATCTCCCGGGACCTGCTCTATTTCAGACCTTCTTTATCATCAGTCTTCTGTTTTTAAGTTTCTTTTCATGGTATAGAGGAAATGCATGCTCATCCACATCTTCTCTAGCCTGATCTCTGTTCCAATCTTCCCCCAACCCCCATCCGGGTCCCTCTTTAACACCAGTTCCAGGATGACATTTCTAAAACACAGAACTGATGATGTTGTTCCCGGCTTAAAAAAACCACAATCCAATTTTAGAACACTTCCATTGCCCCCCAGAAGTGCTCTTGTGCCCTCATTCCCTGCTTACCCGAACAGTCCCTATTCTCACCCCCAATACCAGGCAACCAAGGGTCTGCTTTCTATCTCTATTATTTTGCCTCTTCTAGAAATTTCATATAAATGGAACCATAAACATGTAGTTTTCTGGGTAGGGTTTCTATTATGGACAGAGGTGTACCCCACCACCACCACCATAAATTCATATGTTAAAGTCCTAGCTCTCAGTAGCTCACATTATAACTGGCAACAGGGTCTTTAAAGAGATAATTAAGTTAAAATGAGGTCATTAGGGTGGGTCCTAATCCCTGGTGTCCATATAAGAAGAGGAAACTAAGACAGGCAACCCACTTTAGATAGAAGACCACGTGAAGACACAAGAAGATGACCATCTATAAGCCAAGAAGAGAGCCCTCAGAAGTCAACCCTGATAACACCCTGATCTCAGACTTCTAGCCTCCAGAATTGTGAACAAATAAATTTCTATTGTGTAAGCCTCCCAGTCTGGTACTTTTTTATGGCAGCCCTAGCAAACTAATATAGCTTCTTTTATGTAGCACAATGTGTTTGAGCTTCTTTTAAAATAGTGTAAATATTAATAGTTCTTTACTTTTTGTGCTCAGTAGTACCCAATGGATGTACCATATTTTGTTTATGTATTCTCCAGTTGATGGACATTTGAATTACTTCCAGTTGTGGTGCTAAAACTCCTGCTAGAAAATTTGCATACAGGTCTTCACGTGGACATATGTTTTCATTTCTCTTGGGTAGATCCAAGACTTTCAAGATCAAGTTTAAGTTTTTTACTTCTTCAACCTCACCTCTCATCCTTCATTGCTTCTTACCTTTACTGCAGCACCAAAGACTGCTCATAAGTCCTTGCATGTACTATTCTATTTCTCACTTATAAGTCTTTACATCCATGATACCCTCTCTGGACTTTTGTTTCCTCATGGTAAAATGGAGATAATAATCAGACATATTGAGTGGAATAAAATCTAATTAACAGTACCTCTCATCTAGACAGTGCTTTACACAAGTTTAAAAGCTTATTTACATCCTTTATCTCCTTTGATAAACTCTGTCCAGTAGTCAGGGATTATAGGTTAGTAGCTATGACTGTCAAAGATAGTGAAAGTCACTCGTTGTGTCCAACTCTGCAAGCCCATGGACTACAATCCATGGAATTCTCCAGGCCAGAATACTAGAGTGAGTAGCCTTTCCCTTCTCCAGGAGATCTTCCCAACCCAGGGATTGAATCCAGGTCTCTCCCTCATTGCAGCGGGATTCTTTACCAGCTGAGTCACAAGGGAAGCCCAAGAATACTGGAGTGGGTAGCCTATCCCTTCTCTAGCGGATCTTCCTGACCCAGGAATCGAACTGGGGTCTCCTGCATTGCAGGCGGATTCTTTACCAATTGAGCTATCAGGTAAGCCATGGCAGACTGGGAAAAGGGCCAGAAATTACTCCCTTCCATCTATCTATACGTTTTGAAAGCATCCTCCCACCCTGACTCTGGTTTGGTTTTGTGATTCACTTTGACTAGAAACATTCTTGAGCACAGGGGCTTCCCTTCTCTTACTGCACGGAGTCCAGAGACCACCATGTGGATGAGCCTAGGTTAGGCTGCTAGAGGACAAGAGGCCACCCTGGTGGAGAATGAAGATACCCCAAATATGTGAGTAAGGCGACTACCCAATTCGCCAGTGGACTATAGATCCAACGAGGAGCCTAGCATAGATCCGTTGAACTAACCAACACCAGGTGACCTATAGCATCTGAGCTAAATAAAGTGATCATAGATTTAAGACACGATATTTCAGGTTGAGTCATTTTATTTCAATGCTAATTGATATAGATATTCAATAAAACAAAGCTTTGAAGCTAAGCAGTCTGGGTTTGAATTCTAGCTCTGCC